AACTCTGTTACTCTACTGAACATATTTCAGTTATCAATATCTTCTGCATCTGAAAGGCAAATGATTCTTAACAACAGATATCAAAAAGTAGTTCCCTGTTTCCATTCATAAAATAAAGCAGTATCATGCACATATTTTTGTTGTCTGAGGTAAAATTTTGTTCCAAGCAGTGAACGAAAAACGGTCTGTAAGTCATGGAAGGACTCTGTCTGTCAGCTCCTATTAATGTTAGCTTAGAGAATTCGCCTTCAGCTGCCAGATCCCGGACCGAAACTGGAGGCCTCTGTGACGTGTGATCCAGATCTCTCAGCTTCCGCATTGTAAAGTCTCATTCTTTCCACAAGGCCAGAGTGCACAGCCACAATAGCTATCACTTTAATAATGGGGTATAAGGGCAATGAAAGGCATTCTGATGTTGCCTGCCAAAACATACGGTTTGGCTTCAACAATGACCAAAAGGCCATTCCCACCTACTTGAAACTGCCACTGTTAAATTTAAGGGAAGGAATTTAAAAAACCTAAAGTGGTATTATTTTACAATTGCATGAAACCAATCCAAGTGCAAGGTAGACAGATGTATAAAGAGACCATTTACAAGGCTGAGAGACCATTTCCCTGTTAAGATGTCTCTCTCATTGGAAAAAGGATTAGATTAAAGATATGGGATGAGATTTAGAAGGTGGTAAACCACTAGACATTATTTAATCCAAAAAATTTGCATATTTGACTGCTCACACTTGAAAACCATTGATGAGAATACCAGATGAACCCTCATGATCAAATGACATCAGGAGCAAAGGGAAGCTGATCAACAAAGCATGGCAAACCTCTGAAGACTGAAGACGCTCTCTAATGACTCTGTTGATCTAATATAAAAGCTTTGGTTTAGTTTGTGTTTGGCCTCTTTTCTGATCTAATTCTTTGTCTAAATGGTAGAGATGGGTTATGATGTGGTCAAAAATATATGTATTATTTCAGTCCTTTTTTTTTTGAGAGACTATATAGTTTTCATTTGATGCATCAAATAACTTTAACAATACAAATCACTGTAAAAATCAGCAAACAGACATAACTTGAATGTTTTCGAACTGCTTCTTACTCTCTTTTGTACGGGTCTGGATTTATACCTTATGCAATGATTTAATAAGAGTCCCAATGTAGGTTTCTCAGTGAGATCCAAGGGACAAACGTGGAACACATTTAACTAGCGTGAGTATGAAGAAACATGAACCAAACAAAGGGGTCCTTGGTAGCAGGGCTTTCAAGCGTCAAGATTTCAAAAAACATATTTCAATAGAGTACAACTTTCTGTTTAATGGTTGAAAGTTGTGAACAATGCAGTCGGCCATGCCTTTTTAGTTTCCAAAGTGGGGAATTTCAAAGTAGAGCTTCTGATAGAGTGTGAAACTGATCGCTCAGTATCGCTATCGTGATATTTACATTAGATCATCTATCTGAAGTGCAAGATTCTCTTTTTTTTGTAAGATTCATGAGCAGTGAGACTATGCCCATTAATACAAGGTGGAGCTTAAGTTTGCCTATGACACTATTCCATTATGTCATCCCTTTCATCTGATCTACATCAGGGAAGTTGTGTATGACATATTGCTCTGTATGGACAGAAATAAGCAGTTCTCTCGAAATACATGGCATACCACTGAATTCCCGAAAAGGATAAAAGCAACACTAAAAAAGCCTCAGTGAAAAGGTCCCATCAGCAGTATTGACTCATACCATTCCTAAATCTAAAAGTACAGCATTTCCTCATCACCTTTTATGAAAGAATAACGACTTCCTTATGTGAAAGGATATCTCATGGCTTCCATGTGTCACTTCCTGCTTAGTAGCTGATTCCCACTGGTGAGGCTGGAGTTTCCAAAAGACGTTTAGTGAACAACAAAAGGTCCATGAATAAAAAGGAAAATGTTATGTACAGATGTCCTGAAGACTGTGAGACTGGACTGTTAACGACCCAGAAGCTTTTCATTTGGCTCAAGTGGTAGCATGTTTGCAAGAGATAAATGCCTTGCCCTCTGATATCCCTGTTGGTAAATTCTCAGGTTATTGATTCACTGTGAGAAGTAAAATACCAATAAATGAAGAGGGCAGAAAAATATGTGTCAATTTCATACATGAATTGAGTCATTTTAGTCCGCCTCTGTGCTTTCATTTCTCACCCCACTAGCTAGCCAAGTCAAACGTCTTCAGCATGAGGCCCAGTGTTGCAGGTCATGTCAAATAGCAGTATGGAATCATCCATGATTGATACATTACTTAAAATCTTTGGCAGCACAATCAGAAATCAAGTTATCATTTAAATCATAGAATTTGTTTCAAATAATTTTCTTCTCATGCTGCCCAAATTGGCTCATCGTTGGAGTTACTGAGAGCCAAGCGTATCACACGGTTTAGTTTGGACTTGGTTCCGCTGGTGTGAGAAGACTCACGGTTCATATATTGTTTCCTATGTGTCAAAGGAGCAATCTGCATTGTTGTGTTTCATTGTGGCCCTTAAAGCCTAGTCTGGACACAAAGAAAGAAAGAACCTTGGTCTTTTGTGTGGCCCCAGGGAACGGATGTTTCCTCTTTTTATATTCAGAGGAATCCACCTGAGCGTGACCATCAAGACGCCATGACTCGGAAGTTTCCAGCCATCCAGGTTCACTTCATTAAATGTGACTCCAGGGAACATTTCTGGACATTTTAGTGAGGCAGAGTGGAATGCCTGGGTGAGATGTTACAGAGAGCAAGAGGGGAGACTCTGAGAGAAAAGAGTCTGCAGAGAGACAGGTCTGCTACTCTTGTGTTACCCACACGCAAAGCCCTCCTGTCATGCATGTCTATGTTTGTATAAACAGTTTAAGCTGATGGTTATTCTCACTCAGGTTTGGTATTTCCTTGTTTTAATCAAAGCAAGACCTGAGCCGCTGAGACTTCAAGATGAAGACTGTTGCATCAGGGTTGGCTGGACATATAAAGCTTGAAACCTTTTGGCTCTTAAAACCGTATCATCATTTGTAGTTCCACGCTGACTCAGCAGTAATCACATTTGTCAACAGAGCTGTCAATCATGGATGGTATTATATCCTTTTTTTAGAGCATTACATTTGATGACAGAAACCACATTTGAGTGAAATGTATTCAATGTGTATTTTGATTTTATAGAGCCATGTCCCATCTGTTTACATGGAGGAAGCGGAGCTTATGAGCTATACTGCAGCCAGACACGAGAGACAGCTCCAAATGTGTTGGCTTCATTTTTGAGGAGCTGTCATCTCGTCCATCTTTATAAATAAATGTGATATTTCACATTTTATTTCATAAAATGAGAAAAAGCAAACAAGTGTTCCAACATATAAATTCATCTCACTCATAGTAAAAGCGTGCATTATCATCACATGTGAAGGTTTAACAGTAGACTCGATCTTTTGTTACTCTGGCAGTTCAACGATTTAAACTGAGATTGTACAAACAAATCAAAAACATATTTTTTTTTTTACTCAGGGAAATCAGCTCACACGAGTTCTGATGCAACAACCTCTTTGATGAATTATACGATGATACGGTAAAGTTTCTTTCACTACCCAGTCACTGAAAACAAAGCTTTCAGTAGGGTGTCAAACTCCCCCTGAAAAGAGGACAGATATATTTCACTTCTTCTTCATTGTATGTCTGTTCCACCCTTTTTAGACAAAGAGACCAACAGACTAGACCGGACTCCATAACTACCACAACACAGTACTTGACAAATGGACACTCACATTTCTGAGACACAATATGCTTATTGTCTGTCTGTTTGAGTCACACTGTCTCCATTCTCACAGCATATGTGCGTTCGAACACACACACCTACTATTCTCTCTATGCTGCTTGGAAACCTGAGGGCCTGCCAGCACTGGAAAACTTAGACAAAGATCATCTGCTGGAGTTCAATGCGACTCAAATGTCCATTTGGCAGCTGGTACAATTGGAGAACAGTCAAGATACTATTTCATAACCATTCCAGTGCACAGCGGGATGCATTATTTCATTTTTAATCATGTGAATAATAGTGAACATGTAATTTATTGGCTCAAGTGTTGTGTCTGTTTCCATGGATTCTGTTTATAACACAAACAGGCTGAGAGGACTTAGGTCTCGCACCCACTGAACTGAACTGTACCTGAAGTTACAACCCCAGATGTGAATTATCCTCTCTTGCAGCTGGTGGCATAGGTAGCAGAGGAACGTAATCCAAAGCAGAAGATCTCAAAGTAAAAATAGATTTTAACATAAAGCAGATCCCTTGAACGATATCCACAGTCGGTTGATTTTGTTTATCTTTGGAGGAAAAAATAAATGAAGTGCAGAAGTAAGCCATGACTCTGAAAGTGCATTTCTGCAACAACCACCCAATCATGAGCTTAGAACTCATGCAGGATAATGACACATTGGAGACTTTGGAAGTTCACTGTGTCGAACAATGTTTAAAAAAATGGACGTTTGGATTTTTGGGAGAGTTGTGATGTATTTGGAATCTGTGATGCCAAGCTGTGGTGCTGTGTTTTCGTCAAACACAACCACAAGTTTTTCTACCTCCCCTTGCGCCTGTAACGGCCTTCACTCAAAAGCAAAGTACAAATGAATGTAACAGGAATAACTGGCGGCCCCTCCCAATTTACAACTCTATTTGATGAACACACATTCACATAAATCCAGTGTTGTTGTTGTTGTTGTTTTTTTTATATAAGAGACGTGCTTGTCTCACCACTTGGCCAGATCAGACAATCCTATAAAATGGATTTCCAAGAGCCAACCAAAGACTTCACTGATTACTCCTTTCTCTCATTTGCGGCCTAGTGGGTAATTTTAAGAGTATTTTCTGGCCGAGACCTAAAAAATTAAAGCCCTGAAACTCTGGATGAGAAATTCAGCTTGGATCAGTTTTGAAAGCCTCCCAGTGCATGTGAATTTGAATCTAAAGAAACACGTTTAGTAGATCCAGTGTAAACAGTGTTTACCTGTGAGTCAGGCTCCATGTAAGGGCTTGTCTTGCCATCTTCACTGACTGTTGGCGACCACACTCTGTCTCCTGATCCTGACCTGAAAGACAACACCCATGGGAGAAAAAAGACAGAGTTGGATCAGTCCTTGTGCAATCTTACACAAACAGCACTGAAGCATGCAATCATTTCTGCTGAGAAGTATGCTTTTTTTTTTTTTTTTTTGCTGACATGTTTCCCACAGGAGATCTAGTGTATTAAGTTTCATCATAACTGTATGTGCATGTGTACAGAGAAACTAGAAAAGAGTGAAATGAAAGACACCATTTACATTAGTCCTTTAAGAATAACTCTAAACTGGAAAAGATGACAACTTTCAAATGATATCATACTAACCCTGTCTCCATTCTGTGCCAAAACACTCACATAACTGCTCTTAACAAATCATACACTGTACTGCTAGCTCTGTAAGAATGAGTTTATAGTGTGAGGACGTGGATATACATTTGGCAGGTTTTCACATTAGCAATGGGATTAAGATATATTCTGGCTGTCTCCCATTGCTATGAAGATAAAGTCATCGTCACATCATAACTCATTCAATGAACGATCCAGTGTTGGGATAAATCCCAGTGCATTTTAGGCCATGGAAGTGAAAACTGAACTACTGGTATCTGACACCCTGTGTAGATTCAAAGTAATTGATTCCAGTTGCATTTACTTAAAGAGAAGGAAATTACTGACTGACTGGCAACAAGGATAAATAGAATATTTAGAGCACTTCTGAATGGGCCTACTGTGTGTATGCATTAGCTGGGGTCCAAGAGATTTATCGCGACACGCCTTGGTGAAATTTGGAAAGTGACATGTATTTCTTAGGCTGATTAAATATTGCAATTCATCTCTGAAACCAGCATTTATGGTTCCTTTTCTTTCTCACATTGACATTCTATATTAAAATATTATTAACAATAATGCTTTCTGAAAGGGAATCTTTGGTTCCTCACTGTTGGCAGGTTTTCGTTGCCGTAGAGTTGACTGCTGTGAGGGAAGGAATCCAATTTCCAAAAGAAGTAACACCAGGACATCCAGAAGAGCAACTAGAGATAAATGTGTCCCTTGAATAAGGGGACTGTATAGTCGAAAGAGTTGATGTCCAGAGCAGTGAAGTCATGTTGCTGCAGCTGGCATGGCGTTGGCTGAGCTGAGGTAATGCTTCAGATATGTACCATGGAGGTGTTGCTATCAAGGACGCTCTTATGAGGCGGAGAGTGTTTGGTGGATGAACAACAGCTAGTGCGTAGGATGGGACATCCCCCCCCTTCATGGGACAGAAGTTTTCATGTTTTCAGATTGTTTGGTTTCAATGGTTACGGCACAAACAGCCTATTGAAAAAAGTAAAAGTTCAGTCTGAAGTGGCCTATTTGAACTGACATTTTGGAAGTGCAAGACAAAAGAATGAATTTTACCATCCTTCCATAAAATAAGGCCATGAAGGACGATAAGTCAGCGGAAACTATGAGAGGCAGATCAGTTTAACAGTCTTACACTGTTCATACTGTAGCAGGAAGTCACTTAAGCTCTTGAAAATTAAAATATTTTCCACTTAAAAAACAACTGCCAACACAACAGGAAAATCTCGTGCTTGAAATATTGTATTGTATATTGTATTGCAGCTTCCAGTATGCAGGCTGTTTGAATACCTTAAATGCAATGTAACATAAATAGACAAAGCTGACAGAAACAATCTGGTGTACAAAAGGTCAATCAGGGACAATGAACTGAATTGTTTTCTTCTTTTTCACACTTTTCGCATCTACCAGTATTAAACCACTCTGTGTGTGGGATCAAGTCCTTTACTGAGGGATTCACTAAAGATCTTACATTAGACAAATTGCTGTTACACATTTATTTTCCTGTTGATCATTTCTGTAGCTTTTACTTTTAAATGTTCCATTGTCAGTACTATGTGCTAATACAATATTAAATCTAGGCTTAAAGTAAAACCCTTCCAACCATTTTCTGATGAATGAACTAGTTCAATATATTCTGTATGGCTATAGGTAAGTAGATCATGTGTTTAAAAATCATTTTTATCTGGTTCTACCTCCTGTGTCTTGTAACTAAGCCAAGGACTGGACATAGCTGTGCACTGTGTTCCTCAATACAGCTTCATTGCGAGAGGATATGGATGAAGAGTGGGGTGGAGGAGCACATATGAATGGATAGAAAAGCAGGAAAAAAATATAGGGAAGTCAAGAGGAACACATGAGAAGCTTATGAGAATTAATTTGTTAACAATATGATACATTACTGGAAGTTTATTGTAAAATAGCAACAAAATCCATTGTGAACTTAAAAATGCAATAGACCAAGAGAATCATCAACTTTTGTCTGCAAAGGTAATAAAAGTACTGAAGGAAAAAAGTGTGCAATGTAGTCTTAGTACAGATGTTAATAAGAAAAGAAAAGGTGTGACGAGAAAGGGACAGAGAGATGCAGCAGTGAAAGAAGAGAGTCCCAGGTCATCACAATCACTCTCCTAAACTTTCTTCTGTTCATATTTTCCCTTGTCTGACCTTTCTCTGCCAGGTTTAATTTCCTGATTGGAGAGATCTGGTTTTCATAGCAGTGGACGAGTTTACTTTGGCCTCACAGGCTCAGTATGTTCATGTCAGGAGGAGCAACAGACAGATGACTGAAAAACCAAGTGCCCTCAAATTAAGATGTGGCTGATCGGAGAACGTTCAGGGTTCACTCAGAGTCCTTCGCTACACGTGGCTCAGTCAAACCATTCTAAATATGGAAAGAAACCAGTGGAGCACTTTGCATGTTGTATTGTGACTTGTGCGGAGTTAAAATGCTTTATCCTCAGCATGTAAAGACAGACAATGTTTTTAAAAGAAGCAGTAATGGGGGTCTTGTCTGCAGACCTAAGGGGGTCACTTAAAACATCTGCATGACGGCGATGACAAGATCAATGCAAGAGAGGCAAATTGAAGGAGGTTTGTGGTCGCCCCTTCCTCTCTCGCTCTGCATCACAGCCTCTGAAACTCCACTGATGTTGAAAACCACCACAAAAAGAGGCCTTGGGAGAGCCTTTAGAGGAATGATGCAATGGAGAGATGAAGGAGGATAAAAAAAGGAGTTTGAGTCGGGTGCTTTTGGAGGTTTCCTTTTGTCTTTGTCCCAGCTGGAGTCCTGTGTTCCTCTGGTCCCATGCAGCCTCGTGCATAATTCCTCAGCAGTGAGTCACAGGTCCTGGAGTCAAAGCGAGACAGAAGGGGCAAATCCTCCACCACAGGCTCTGACTCTGTGTCTTTTCTCAGCCTGTTTCTCTGATTCCTCCTGAATCCTCTACCCTGTGTAACATTTGTATTTTAACTCTCCAGACTCTACTCAGATTTGGATTCCTCTCCTCTGCATGGCTCAGATATGCACTCATACTGCATGCACTACTTGCAGGTTTGGAGAGGTAGAAGGCAGAGTGGGACATGGAGGTCAAGGAGAAGAAGGGGGGGGTAAGGGATGACGATACCAAAGTAAGGTGATGAAAAGAAGAAGACGAGAAGAAAAAGAGGAGGAGAGGGGAGAATTGTTCCACCACAGCTGGCCGTTTAGGTCTGAGGATACACAGGCCGAGCAGACATGACACACTTAAATTCATAGCTTTCAGACATGTGACTGTCGTGGAGGCCTGGAGGGCAAAAAAGGTCTTAAGAAAGACCTTAAAGAAAGTGGCGGCCATCATTTAAAACTATATAGCTGTAGCACAGGCTTGTCTATTTGCCATCTCCTCAAACAACACATATTAAGATCACATGACCTCTGTTCGCATTTCCACTAAAATGACAGCGGAGCATCTGAGGGCATCATCTCTCTGGGTTTTCTTTCTTAGATGGGATTTTTGGTTTAAAGAATAAAAGAAGCGAAAACACGTAGTGAGCAATGGAGACTGGCAACTTCCCAGTAGCGTACAGCGGTAGAAAGCCTGTCTTTTTTCCGCTAGGTGGGCGTCGTGTGTGACGTCATGTCAAAGCTATGAATATGGACTCTGTCAAGGTCCTCTGACATTACAGTGAACTTGGACATTGTGTGTACGTCAGGGGGTGGACGACATTTTTCCTCCCCAGCAAGCCAACACAGCTTCATTTCTTCACTGGTGAAACTAGCGACGGGTGTTTGACCTCGGTGTGGAGCGCTGACAGGCCGGCATCAGCAGGGAGGCCTGATGGAAAATAGAAATGTGTGGTACAGTGGTGACCTAAGAGAATTTTTTCTCTCTGGTTACTTCTCCTTGTCTTCACTTCTTAATTTTCCCCTTCCAATGCTTCCTTCTTTCTCCTCACTTAACCATTTATGTATGTTTTAATTTGAATTTATTTTCTTTGTACAGGTGGATGATAAATTAATGGGGAAACAGGAAATTAATCTAGAAATCTAGCGATATTTACACGAGACATGATGATTCCTTCTGGGTCTAAATTGCTTTAGAAGTATTTAGTTATTTCAACTTTTTACCCATATTTTTCTATATCATACATTTTGCCAATGCAGTTTGATGGAGTTCAATATAACAAAACAAGACTCCAGTAACACCAGCTGCTCTGTGAGGCTTTGTAGCATACCTTGTGCACAGAGATTGAATTGATATCCTAAGGTCAGCACGCTGATGTAGTCATTTAAAATGTATTCTGTTTGCATGTTGACCTGTTTAGATTGGGTTCTAAAGTTGCGCATGATTAAAAGGAGAGAAGGCTTTAAGTCATAGGTGGAAGCAGTTAGCTGTCTGCTAGATGCTTCCAGAGCAAATTCCAGTCACTCAACTGGACTTTTTGAATACCCACCCTCCCGTCCAAATACGGTGACTCTCGCGAAAAAAAGAAAAACAAGATGGAGACAACAAAAGAGCCAAGTTCAAGACTTCAAAACCATATTCGACATAAAGAATGACCACATAGTGCCTTTGTCAAATTATGAAGTCAATACAGGAAACTCAGATCTGAATGAAGGTGGGTCAGAGAAATATTTCCCCAAGATATAGATTTTCAAAGTAGTGTCAAGGAATCTAAATCTATTCAAATGTGACATGCACAAACACTGTGCACTTAATCACAACAGAAAAGAAAGTATTTGTCACAGAGATCATTAAAAAAAAAAAAAAAAAAAAAAGTATGAGAGCATTTGAATATTTGACAAAAAAAATCCACACCAACAACTTTTGGCAGCTGGCCCAATTCAATAAAGCCTCTATTGTTATGAGGGAACATCCCCAGAAACCCCCCAGTGCTAGCTAAAAATGCTTCATTATAAGAATTATGACAAATAGGGGTTATGAAAGTGATAAATGAGCCATTTATAAAAGAATTTTGTTTTGTTACACATGACCTCAAACTCAGATGCATCCAGTGTACTGTCATTTTGGTTCACAGCAGATGTGCCGACTCGTACATTTGTCCATCAGCAGCAACACAAAATTACAGGTCTCTTGTTTCTCCCACTACGACTCTGTGACTGTGGAATATTTGATGGTGTCGTTTTTAAAGATGGCTGGGAACTATTGTCCTCTTAAATATTATTTTCTAGTGAGTCAGCATATTTGTTCAAGTCATTTCAAACTTCTTGGACTCAAAAAGTCAATGGTTGCAATCGTCAGTTATTCCCTTCAGCCCGCAAGTGATTGTTTCAAATAAACCCAGAGTGCCATATATCACAGTTTCTTCATTAATTATCATAAGAACATATTTTTCATATAATGTAAATGCGTCCTTATTGTCTGGATGCTTTACAACCCAGGGCTCAGGGGTTTTCTCCAACCACAGAAAAGAGTAAAAACATTTACTTTGTTTATGTGACTTTAATATAATGGTAAGTATTTGACTATTTTCTTGGATTTCAGAAGTCAACAGCCAAAAGAGTGACCTCGCTTTTCCTGTTGACAAGGGCTCTTAGATTGTGTTTGTCTGCTCACACATAGTGACTGTTGCTATTTATTAACAAGACTTCCTGTGCAGCTCTTTTCCTGGGAAAAAGCGACTTCACAGAAGGTGTTTAGGACACTAAATGTAATCTTTTAATCCCCTGGCTTGAGGCTTAAAATAATTGCTTTGGAAAACATGTGTAAAGCAGGTTATCCGTTGATTGATATTTGACCGGGCACAATGTGTGAAAAATTAATAACCCTGTCAACTAATGTTTCATTATATTCAGCGGGAATATTCAAACATTATTAGAAAAACGTATGCAGTCGTATGTCTTTTATCTCAGGGAGTGAAACTAAGCTCTTCATGGTGTTGTCTGTGTAATTGAATTTCCAGAAATGCACACAGCAGAAAATCTTGGCTGTAAAACAGCATTCTAGGCAGAGAAGAGCCCATGTGGATTTCTCACTTTCTCTCACTTTGATTCACTGCTCTTCTACTTGGCTTCCAGTTCCCTCCCTTTGTCTTGGTTCTGTCTTTCTCTCTGTCCACCCAGATATTTCTTTTTTTCCCCATAATTCCCCCTTGTGGAAACCAAGCTTTTGTACCATCCTCCTTTGTCTGCCGTCTTCTCTTGTTGTCCAAACTCACTTGATTTCAAATTTTCAAAAACAATAAAATGCCTGTACTCGTGTTGATCTACCCCCCCCCCCCCTTCCCCCTTCACCAGTAGCTCAATTAATCTCTGGGCCCTGGAGAGAAAGATGAATGCCTATCTCTAAGACATGCCTCACCGCCCTCGTGTCCAGCAGGACAGTGCTGACTGTAATTATTTAACCAATATACTGCAGAAAGGTCACATACCAGCAGCTGGCCTTGATTTACCCGTGCTATGTTGCTATCTTATCTGTTAAAATGAAAAATGTAGGATTAATAAAGAAAACATGGCAGAGTATTACAGTTTAATTGAAGCTGATATTTAGAGGAATTATCTGTCAGCTAAATTAGAAAGTTACAACAGCTTCATAGTTGTCAAATATGGCACACAATCAAATGAGGTTTGCCTTTCAGTTGTAAAAGCAGAGTAGATGAATTTGATGTATTTTCTTGTCCAAGTAATTTTTTTTTAAGAGCATTAAATTAAAGGTAGCTTTACTCAACAGAGACACAATGTGTAAGGGAATCTTGACAAAACTAATCTTTGTAACAGGAGTAGCTGAGAGCGGATGTTTGAGACACAATGTCAATCAGCACAATAAATGTATCCTCTTCACCTCCTTCAACTAAAGAGTCTTCTTGACAAGCATTGCTCAAATCTGTAAAATTAAAGCCAAGAAACTGTTTTTTTGTCCCATAAAATATCAATGTCTGTCTTAATAAAAGAAAATCTTCAATTTTCCACTTGGGTGTTACCATAAAAATGGCATCTTGAAAATGTCAGACAGTAAATGTGTTACAGCTCCAATGAAACGACAAAACAGGCTATAAAATGGTAAACGTGAAACAAATGGGCAGATCAGAATCGTCTCTTCAGCGCACACATCACTCTGAAGTGCTTCTGCTTTTGATCACACAGCGCTTCTTATGTCAAGTTTTGTTTTGAATAACTTAGACTATTTAAAAGGACATTGAGGCTGAATTTGCGCATATAATGGTGTAAGTGTAAGAGTCCTTATTTCAGCTGCTGCAGCTGCAGAGGAACTCCCCTGGTCTTGGTGCTGAATACTACTTTCTGTATCCTTAAATAAATTTACTATCCCTATGTGGACAGACCACTTAACGCTCAGCTGCTCAGCTTGATATATGGTGGATGGTTTCTAGTACTGGATGAAGGAAAGGGAGGCTGTTGCATGCTAGAGTGCGTACAATAAAGCATAAAAACTGTCTGAATTTGGAGTTGTTACATTTGTTAAACTTTGCTTATCTGGCGGGTTACTCAGATAGGGTTTCTTTATTCCACCTCATCTGCAAATCAGCGTCACACTCTGATGGAGGGAGGCTGTGTTGCCTGCTGCCCTAAAAGGAGAGAGCTGAAGCACCAGTTGGCAATTGTCAACTTGTAACTGAGGCTGAAACCACACCGAGTTCTTCATCTGAGAGGACAGAATTCAGAGGTTGCCAGATTCTCTACGCACTTTCCAGGACTAACCGAAAGCAACCATCTAATAGAAATGTGGGAAGTGGCTGACATTTCAGTTTTTCCTCGGTAATTCCCCATCACCCTCTCTCTGTCATTAACTGTTCAGACAGATGATTTCAGTTGTCCGCCATTGACAGAAACATGTTTCTCCTGTCCTGTACTTATGATTGAATAAGATAAGATTAGAAAAAATAATTCTTTATTGATCCCAAGAGGGGAAGTTGAAGTGTTGCACCAGCAAAAAGTCATAAAAAAGCAAGCTATTGAGACAAATAGAAATATGCATAGATAAGAATAAATATAATTATATTTACAACTATTTACTAGTATAAAATAAATGTTACATCCATTAATGGCAAAACTAAAAACTATACAGTGCATTCAGACATGTTGTGCAGTAAGTGGCAAGTTAATGTGACAGATTGTGAGAAAAAGTGACAAGTAATGAGATACAGTAAATAATCAAAACATTCCATCCTCACATTCTAGGTCCACAAAGAGAGGAGAATAGTTTTCCATCCCATGAACTGGTCAAATTCCTAATATCGACCTGAGAAGTCCATTTGTAAAGGTCACAATCTGACTCACTGTTTGCACAAGCCTCATTGACTTTGACGGCGCTCTATAGGAGCACAGAGTCGATCATTTAAACCGTCGTAAACCTGTCATCCGTCTCAATGACTCGACTTTGCCAAGCTGAACAGACCCACCAGAAATAGAAACAAGATGTGTTCCTGGACGGGCAGCAAATGACATAGGTCATTAAAAACTGTCTGTTTTTTTAGACCCCAAGTCACTTAATGAGCAAATCCATCAAAAACCATGAGCAGCCTTTGTTAAGGGACAAAGTCGTGACGTCTGATTAGCGGTGACATATGTTTCACATTTCCTTAAATCTAATTTTTCTAAACTCATTATTTCCAGCAGTCATTCCTTACCAAATATAAACCTCATGTGTCACGTATAACGAAGGAACAAGCATTCATAAATTAAAGTGTGTAAGAATTGACTGCAAACTTGCAATAAACTCCAGTTTAAAGGTGTACTTACATTTATAGCAGGTAGATTTTGAGTGTTAACTTAACGGGACATTTTGGTTTTCCAGTGTGTGTCCACATTTAAGAAGATGGTTTGTCAGCCCCTTGCATACAATTCAATATGATCAAAACAAAAATTTGCAACCAGCCGTCGAAAAAAGAACAATATTGCTGCATCAGATACTGAAACATCCTTCTTATTGCATGAATTCTCCTACCGGATAAAAAATGATCAACCTATCTTACACAAATGCAAATTAACTATTGACAGTTTGTAAAGGAAATGGGTAAAATCAGTGGAGTTTCCATTTCAGGAAATTCTAAACATGTTGAAGTTTGTTTTCGGGTGACTCAAATGATCAGCGCTGTCCTCGTTCTGTTAAAGACGGTTTCATGTTTCCGTACCTGCTGATGTCGAGTGTGAGCTGCTGAGTGCAGTTTTTGATCCTGTTCTGAGCCTCCATGTGTGTCATCTGCTCTGTGCTGTCGCCGTTGATTGCCAGGATGGTGACTCCCGGACAGAGGTCGCCTTGGGCTGCTTTGCTACCTGGTGTTACCTACAGATTCACACACACACACACACACACACACAGACAACCACACACACAACCACACACACAACCACACACACAACCACACACACACAGCAATCCAAGCACAACCCAACAACAAAAAAAGACAAGAAAGAAAGAGCTGTTATAAGTGGTGTCAAACTGTCAGTGAAGAAAAAAGAAAGAAATGGAGTGGTGTCAACACAGAGTCCAAATACAACAAAGAGCAGCTCTCTTTTGATTTATGATCTGTTGCCTTGGGCAGCACGCTCGGTTTAATATTTCCAAAAAAGTCAGCAAGAATGACACTGGGGAGTGAAGGGAACAAAGTTTTTGAGATCGTGAAATATTTGGAAAGAAGTTGAACATTTGAAATGCCCTACTCTAGAGATTTAAGGGGGGGGTAGGGTGCATTTTAAACTCAGAGGACTTCAGAAGAGCAGAGTTTTCGTTTGAACCTTCAACCTTTACAACTGTGTCTGTTTAATGTAGATTCATGTGCAGACATCTGCTCAATAACTTCCTTTTGTAGATGTTTCTGAGCCAACCATTCTGATCTTGTAAAACACACATCCACATCAACTTCATTTTCAAGATTATCTCTGAGCCGCATGACAGTGAGCAGGTCCGTCTCTGTGATCCCGCATACCACAAACACACACAGCTTTATGGACATTTGATCCCCTCGGGGAGGTAGAGGGGTGAGGAGTAGAGGAGGAAGGGGGGATGGTGGATGTCCCAGTGGGTATGTTTCACCTTCACAGACACGCGTACTAACATATGATAACAATTTTCCATTATGTCCTTTGTATTTCAAGGCCTGCCTCGGTCTGGTCGTATGGTTTTGGCTAACTTAAGTCAAACCCTCTATTACGAGGCATGCACAGTAAAAGAGACACTTTCATATGGTGGCCATCTGTAGAGGAATATACTCCCTACCAAATGACACTAAAATATAATGAAATGTGAACAACTGCCATCTTGTCTCCGGTCTTTATGTGCTGTCATGCTGTAACACATCTGTTAGTTTGACTACGTTTTTCAAGCCGTTTGATATGAGGGGAGCAGCAGCAGCTGGGTGCAGTTGACTGAGTCATCGTTTTTTGATGAATACAGAGCTTTTGTTAGTGACATAGTTTTCTGCTGGATCTGCCATTTCTCTCGCAGTTGAAAAGTGATTAAATATTGATTAACTACTCTATAAAGCCTTGATTCTATTTGTGTCAACAACTTGGAATTTTGTTTAGTACAAATGAAGAGTGAGGAGTGATAGCAACAGAACCTGTAAATATGACTGCTGTCATTTTTAATGTATTGTGCGTTTCTTTTTAACAGAAGAAAAAACCCTCAGTTGACTGAAATGTCTTGTTTGGTTTGACCAATAGCCCAAAATGCACAGAGTTTCCCCTTTTAATTATATAAACACAGAGAGCATCTATCATCACTTCAGACTTTCAAAGGAGATCTAAATTTTGGTAATCTTTCCTGACAATCACAGTTCACTGCAGGTCACTATTATTGGCTCGTTTTTTCTCATCTTTGGCCAATACCTTCACCGTCACCCAAAAACCAAAATTGACATGTTAATTTCTGTCAATAAATCTGTGTTTAGAGTCCAGCTGAAACACTAAAATGACTACCTGTATCTGTGAAAGAACAGGGAACAGATGATTTGGGAGGATTTTTCTGTTAATGAACACCATGGATGTCAAATGTCAGTAATACATCTCTTTCCTGTTATCCCCCTGAGCTTCTTGTACAGCTTTACGTTAAAGGGTATTATCTTTGAAGTGCTGATACTTTATGTTGTAACAGCACTTACTTTTGCAGATATATATAATCTGTTCCTGATAAATTATGCATTGATGTCGAAAAAAATGAACAGAAGCCAGAGACAGAGAGACAGGGGTTCTGCTTGTGGAGAGACAAGCAGCCTGGCTTACTTGTAGGAGCAAAGGCACAAGTTCACGCTCCATGAGGCACTAATAGCTGAGTCGTGTGGTTCAAATGTGGAATTCCTAATTTACAGCTTCTGACCGCCCAAATGTTCCTGACTCAGTTCCGGTAAACTGAGAATGTGAGTGTGGAAATCTGTGTGTTTGAGGGTCTCAGGGGAAAGTAACAAAACTCACTTTATTTATGTATCAGCATAAATCTTACAAGTGAAACACAAATTGGCATGAACTAGTCTTAAGTTCAAGACTGACTGTTTTCAAAAAACGGTTTTCTGGAAGGGGAAATGGAACGGATTCTTATTTATCAGGGCATTTGTTGAGAAACACTAACAACAAGCTCCTTTTGGCGATGTGTTTTATATATCGTATACGTATTTGATATTGTGTTTGGTGTTCTTTATTTGTGTGTCTTGGGTTTGTGTCTTGGCTGTGTTGTATTGTGTCATATGTCAGAGCGTGAGTTAGTGGGTTATATCACCTCAGGTTCAGGCCGTGAATAGCAGGGCATGAATCATCACAGACAAACACACAGTGGTATGCTGAGTGCTACAATGGCATGACGGAGTTTGTCACTAGAGGACAAAATGTAAGGATAGTGTCAGGACATAATCACAGCCTGCTATATTTACCCTGCAGACATAGTGATGTAATGACTTAAATGTATGGAGCGTTAAAGATGGATGTCATTTTGTAATGAGCTATCCACTCTTTGGCCTGGATTAGTAGCTTTGAAACCCAACCAGCATCTCCTTTTTTGCCTAAAGATTTTATTTCTCTCTTTTTACTTGAAGTTGTAGTTGCTTAATTTGTTGGCCAAAGTAAGAATTAACAGTTGTCAAAAAAGAAGGTGTGTGACTGCATCTGGCTGAGGCAAAAGATGGAAACCAGGTTGTTTTGATTGATGAAAAGTACTTTCTAAACCGCAGTGAAGGGGAACAAACAGACATTAAAATTCTACAAATGATCCAATTCTCTAGAAATAGTCACTGAGGATCATATGGTATTAATTTAATCCCATGTGCACCCCTACTTTCACTTCCAGCTGACATTCATGGAAGGAAAAAGGGGAAATCAATCAGGTTATCCGTGTTTTTAACAATAAATAACTGCTGATTTTTTCTCACACAAACAACTCCTCTTTCTAAACAGTAACCTACTTTAAGATATCACTTTGGCATTTATCAATGTTTGATGTTAATAACATGGTTTTTACTTTGGGAGTTGGTCACGCACTGTAAAAATGTGACCATGATGGATTGGATGGTGGTGATGCAGGAACTTCACCGCTTGTTGGGAAATATAAACAGTCCCATCGTTTCCATACAGGGCCGCTCCACAAACAGTGACATAGATAATTGCTAACAGATAGCGTGGTTAGTGAATTGACAGCCTCATGTCACACGGAGTCATCGTGTGGCACACTGAGGGCCTGATGACTGTGTGCTGCAGTGTGGTTGCACAGTGGGCACTTGTGTGTGAGAGAGAACCAGAGGATTGTATAAAAAAGGAACTGGTCCGTGTGAATGTTTGTGTACTTGACGTGATAGTGCTACATCAACACTTTCACTGTAGTGACACCAGCCTGAGGGCAAAGTTTCCTGTCATGTCATCACTGTTTTGTGTCTGTGTGTTCTATCTTCTGTCTTATCTCGATAGAGACCTAAACTATGAAACTATGGGTGCCTCTCTTTGATCACAAATTCCATGTATCTGTACTGCTTTGTACCTGTAGGAATGGCAATAAACATCTATTCTATTCTATTCTATACTAGATCAAATATAATCATATTCAATTAGATAAGCTACATCACAATGCAATATCATCAGTCATGACACAATGCATTAAGAAACAATAACTGACACAGTATGTTACAATACAATAATCAGAATACGATTCCATACAATACAACATGAAAAAACTATATAGGTTATGATACGATATGATATGTCACACATGGCACAACACGATAAGATAAATAGCCTACTATTGGAACAAAAATGCACATCCTTATCAAAACACCAAGGTTACAAATTTAGCCTATGACCCCTAGTTCACTTTCCTTGTTAAACTCAATCCTAACTGATGAGACGCAGATAACTTCTGTTTCTTTTTTCATATCCACACTTCATTTGTACAGGAGTTTAATGTAAGATACGAGAAAATATATCAACATTTTCCATTAGCTGTCATTAAATCAGTATTAATAGCATCTTGAAGTGAAGGTCAAAAAAGCTATTTTTAAGGTCAAAAGAAATCCAGCCTAAACAAAAGTCTTACTTTACATGGGGTTACTCATGCCACATTTCAATGTACTGGTTGGTTATTCATAAGCTTTATGCAAGAGGAGTATGACTCTTAAATGTTTTTCATATGCCTGATTTCGACAGTAATGCTTCCCACAGGACAGGAGGAGGAGGATCATTAACTGAGTTGCACTTCTTGAATATTTTCTGGCAACGTGTCAGCTGCTTTGTTTGCTTGCTGGACCTTTGATAGGAACCATGGTTATGACCTTCGTGACACCTCAGCCTGCGGTGGGAGGATCTGACTGGTGTGTTATTGAACACTGAAACAAAGACACTGAACCTGCCAAGAACACGACTGTAGCTGATGATTAAATATGTGGAGTTTAATGGGGGCATGAGGAAACGGAGAGTCATGTGGAAGTAATTGCAGAGTGTAATGCATTTGTGTACGTCTAGTATGACCAAAGATATTGCTCATCAATGTGAGTCACCAAAAAGCGTGCGGTAATGCCTTTGAATCTGATTAGTAGTAATTCTGCCTGGTTCAGCTTTCTTTGAAGTCTTTCCCACAAAGAAATGCTTTAATATGTTCTGCAAGGGCGTTAGAGCATCACAAGAATCATTTTAAAAATACTTGGCAGCAACTCTATTTTAAAAAGAAACTCGTGCTTGTGGCAATACAAGTCATTTAAGAAGATCTGAAAGAAAACAAAAATCAAAAGAACTGCAGGGTGGTGAGTGAATTGAGAAGGTCAATGTAAAATCAAGCATAAGACACTTCTGTTTTCCACACAGTCGAACAAATCTGTGTGATTGGTTTACTCCACAGTGACGCGTTTTCTGTCTACTTTCCTTCAAGCCACCCTTAAAAATATTTTGAAGTGATTATCAATCACAGCGAGTCACTTTCAAACATCAGATAACCACATAGCAGGAAACGCTCAGTAACAAACCCAAGGACTCCCATTGTTCCTTCTGCCCTAAAGTTTCAGGAACTCCTCAGCCTCACTGACAACAGGAAATTCTTGGAGAGTACCATCTGTTATCTTCCACTTAGCATGTTGTTGAGCTGAAGAAGCTCGAACAGCATCTATAGCCACGAGAAGGGGGCTGCCTGCAAGAGAGCTGACTATTACAACCAGCAGGGCCAGAGGGACGGCCCATGCTGCTGCAGGTCACATGTCCTGTCTCTGGTATGTGGCATAGACGCAGAGACGTACGTACACAGTGGGATTAAAGGGTACAAAGGACACTGCGCTCACTGTATATTTTCTGCTGATGTAATAGGAGATACTTTCCTTCTTATTTCAAAGCCCTCTAAAGTCAGCTCAACATACATTAACCATCCATTATGGTTTCATTATTGGTATATTTTTTTCATCTTAACTCTTAATTTCCATTAAACCCATAACGTGAATGGGAGTTTAGGCTCAATATTTGAAAAAGAAAAAACGTGGCAAGTTACAGAGCCCTGATAATGTTTAAGACCATATCAGGGAGGACTTTGATCCCATACAGCAGAAAAAAATTAAGAGCCACTGATAGTTAGAAACCTAGAAGTTCACAGGGTTGATTGTTAGGCACAGGGAGTTGATGCTTTCCTCATGTTTATTTCACATAAATATTGGGAAATTTGAATTGTTGGACAAAAGATGTTTTTATTTTGGGGAAATTGGGATGGATTATATCCTTCCTTCTTAAATATTTTATTGGATAAACTTTTTTTATTATTTGAATAACATAAAAATAATTGTTTCAACTATACCAATACATGTAGCTACTATCCTGGTGTGAAAGTTGCCCACACCTTTTCCCATTAAGCAACAAGACAGACTGCAATACAAAGGTGTCATATGGGAAGCTGGACAGTTAGGTGTTCACTGCTAAGGTCATTATTTACCCAACACTCAGTTGTGAATTCCTGTCCAGGAAAATGAGTGTTTGCCAATTGGCCTGGTTGACAAGCGTCCTGCGTCACCTTCTGCCTGGACCTCTATTCACAAATCAGTTTAAACCAGAGCTGCCATATTCAACGCATCCTCTCTAAATGCTTCTGCAGTAACAGCAGTGATTTTATAATGTTTCTGTTTCTTGGCCCCCTTTTCTGTCTCATGGACATAAAGCAGTTTAAGAACCTTCAGGGCAAATGTTTCCAGAGTCAAGTAGACATGCCATTAACTGGCTGCAGCTCTAATGGAATGGCAGGGGACTAATGGGCTTAACCTGGGGTATTATCACCTTAAGCAAAGAACCAGCTGGTACCATCAGAACTTGTTCTCTGGTATTTACAACTTTCACCGTCTCCAGGTGCAGTCATCTACTTTTATATGCAGAGCGAGAAGGAAAGGGGTTAAGTCAATCATGCAAGTAAGAAGGATTGCATTATAAATTGGTAAGCTCAGCCAGCAGACACTGTTGCACCAGTTAGACGAGGTTTCCAGTGCCGCCTAAAGAGGCATTTTATATGAGACCATATTTCTCAGACACACTGATTCTCTCTCTCGAAGCATCTCAGGTTCTTTTTGATGCCATTCAACACATTGTAACTGTCGTCTAGGGCACACTGTGCAGGAAGAATGTAGCAAGCATCTGATGAATAGGGTTTTAGAGATATAAAGTCTGTCAGCAGCAATGAATCACACAGTGCTACAAACTCAGAATGCAATCAGTTCCCATGAGGTGACGCGAAAAAATTCCTTTCCCACCATTTCTACTTTTTATCACTTCTCATTCAATTTAACTATGATTTATTCACTCTGGCAAACCAGTATATTATAGAGACACCATGATAAAACAATTATCAAGTCCTGCCAATAAAACACATTTTGTCCTGTCAGCGGATGTATCAGGGTGTATGACGTCAGTTGAACATCATGCTCGGTAATGGCTGGCAGAAATAAAAAAAAGGCTGGTAGAAAGCAAAGAAAAGTATTTAGGAAGTAGAATAATGATGGGTCCTGCTGCCAAGAGAGAGTGTTTTTTATGCCTCTGACATTACATATTTGCTAAATATTCATGCAAACCACCAGCTGCTTCATTTCCTCGTTTGCAAGCCAAGAGTTTGGAACGAGCCCAATCTCACATATTTACTCCATTGTATGCAAGTGCTGATTTTTATTGCCACCTTGTTGTGCCATGTACTGTAACTGTGTATTAAGTGTAACCTGTAATTAATTCAACTGAAGCCATCATAACTCTGTTACGCAATGTTCAGAATGCAAAACGGCTTCCCTGAGAAAGCCATCGGTTTCACATTGGGAGGCACTGAAGTATGCATGGATCATATAAAACTGGCATCGTTCAGAAATTAATAAACAGCTTAAAATAGAACCACAACATGTACGCTCTACAAATCATTAAACATTTAGCAAAGTATGGCCCAGAAAAACGCACAGAAGAGAGCTGCAACAGGTCCTCAAACAAGAATCAAGCAAAAAAGAAAAGTTTAAGGATGCATTTTGTCTCCTAGAGACTTATAAAGCTTCCTTTTACTGTGATTTGGAGACGCAACATTGCCAAGAGAGCAAGAGAGTAGGTTAAAACAAAAAAAGCCCAAGACATAAAACTGGCCAAGGTTCTGAGATTTCACGCATTTCATAGCACGCCTTCCAACTGCATCATAACTCTTTGTAGGGATGCAGTTGTAGGTTTAAAACCAGAGAGCAGTTCAGGTGACCTTAAGGGGTTTGTCTGCATCTCTCAGAGTCGTTAACCCCAGATTGTAAATCTTGAAATTACACCTTTAGTTTAGAGTGCTAGGGCCCTGTAGTTAAAGGGTCGTTTTGGGGCTGGTGATACAGCTGAGCACAACACCTGGAATCCCTCAGCAGCACCAATGAGCTCTGATGAAAAACAAATGTCAGCAACCCCATTCCTCGTTTCTATAAGCCCTGCAGCATGCACGACCAGGCTGTGTTTACTCTGGCTGGGAGTAAGTATCGGCTACTGCCAGATCCACTGCCAGCACACCAACTCCTGACCCATATTCTGGGGTCAGGAAAGTTCACCAATCTTCATCAATACTTCTACAACTGCTTTTACAACTAACTTCTAATATCATAAGCAATACAAATACCTATCTAAACGATCCATTTTCATTAATAAAAAAAGCACCAAATCACACAAAAAAAGAGGTTATTTAAAAAACACTCAATACATAGAGCAGGTCTTCACTGTAGCCTACTCTTTGTTATATTCTTGAGAGAGAGCCAATATTGACCAAGAAAGCTTTTTTGAATCAGTGTCAAGGAAAAACTTCCTTTGAAGAGGTGGGAACCGTGAGCAGAGCGAAATCATTGGTGAACAACCATCAACCAATAAATGAAATAACCCAGTAGACATTAAGACCATAATATCATAAGCATCAGTTTAGGACACAGATGAGTCTGTCTTATTATTATAACCTGAGGCCACCTGCTGAAATCTGATCAAAGACTTGGAAAAAGAAACGGAAAATAACATTATTTGTGTTTAAGGATGTAGACTATTACATTTATTTTTACTTAAACTTAAGGAGGAATTCCTCATTGCCTGATGTGAGGGGGTATCAAGGTTCTGATGTAGGTTTAGGCTTATTTAAAATAACAATTTTGAATGATTACGCTTTATGCTTAGCTATTCTTTCGGTTCTAATGAAAGCTTACTAGTAATGGTATGCCAAATGCAACAACTCCTTACATCGCATAGAGAAACTTTAGGCTTCAATAATGGCACTGTCGGTTATTAAAGCTGTTCTACGTTCACTTTTCAGCCTTTTCAACCCCTATACGACCTCTTATTCAACGGAGGCTGCATTGAAAGAGGTGCGTATTTTCACCTCAGACACGTCTCTGCATTCCTTCCGGCAAGTAAGTGCCAATGAGTAAAAAGTTGCCTGGAAATGGTTTAGTCACCAAAAGTTTTCCTCCCACCGCACGGCTCACAATGAATGGAAACACAGCGAAGCGACAGGCAGCGAGTGAAGACCTACCCTGGAGATGGTTAACGGAGTGCTGAAATCCCGTCCTCCCACCAGTCGAAACCCCCAAGGAGAGGGTCCCTTTAGTGTCACGGTCTGGGGCATGTTTGGCATATTGACGGCGAAAGGGAAACGGACAGATGAACAGGTATTAGACAGAGCCGAGAAGCGTCCGCGGTTGCTTGATATGTTTTTTTTTTTTTTTAAAAGAAGGCAGTGTGTAGTAGCAAAGAGTCCTCCTCTGCCTAGCTGCTAGGCAACGCAGTCCCGACTGTGAAAACTCTGGTCCCCACTTGATACAGGTTTAAATAAAGAAGCCGCATGTGACGTAGAATGACGGGTTGTCCTCCCCGCCTTTCACGGGCTGTAAAGAGTGGAGGGAGGCGGGGCTGTGCGGGGGCAGGGATGGGGTCAGACCGGTCAGTCAGACGCAGACCTAGTTCACAGTGTGCCCTAACGAACTAAAAGGAGACAACAAGTTAAAAAGAGTGATAATATTATAAAATATTAGGTAAGTGTGCGCATTTTCATGTGTATGATTGATGATGGTTCAGTTTCTCTTCAAGCATTTTATCCTTTGTTACAGAAATTATAAACATAAAGGCTAAAGATTTATCACTTAGTTCATTGATTGTTACCTTAGATATTTGCTACAGCTTTACATTTTTTTTTTTTTAAATAGCCTTCACTTTCTTTGTAAATATCTGCATATTCATACATTAACATCACAAAAGGATATGTAGCCTAACTTTTTAATAAAACCAAAAACACAGGAGAGCTGAATTTTACTTCATTTTTAAGCTATTAGTTTTAGGAGCCCCTGAAAACTGTTATATTACACTGTAAGATTAAAAACCTTTGAATCATTAAAGGAGCGAATTAAAGTTTTTTAGATCAATTGCTTCAAAATCAAAAATGTAATTTTCCCATAAATGAATGAACCGTTTGTCCTTTGCTTTATTTTTTAGCTTTGAAAAGACAAATCTTGGGGAAGCTGAAAGCAAACAAGCCACCATTATAGTGGTGTGTCTCCTTACAACATCTGTACAACATCTAGGGAGGTTTAAATGCAAGCTAAAATATTCTACTTTTACCGTTACTTTTTATGTAACTTTAATTTTGATATAGCAATGTCAAGCGCATCACAAATAACCTGTGGGGTACTCAACTGCTCCAACAGTTGTGACAAACTTTGAGTTTTGAAGAAGAAAAAAAGCAGGAATGAACAAATACGCAAGCCTTTACTTCATGAAGATTTCCCCAGTATGATACCTGACACTGGACATAAGCCGCTTACGTGGAAATAATGTTAAGATCAGCAGATACCTTCATCAGCAGCTGTCTGACATTTTTAATCATCTCTCCATGTTGCTGTCACGGTCAGCGGGCAGACGCTAAGATGCCACCACAAGATCGCAGCACCCACAAATCCGTCCGTCAGATTCCTACGCATTACCTTTTATTATACCCTCAACATTGCTCCTAAAAGTTAAACATTTGCTTTCTTTGAATAGCACTTTGACTTTAAGTCATGCTGGCCTTTGGGGCTGTAGTCCAGTAAAATCTGAAGATGTACTTTAAACCAATAGCCATCAAAAACTTGTTGATCAGGGTCTTAAACAGAAGGACATGAGGCCTCAGTATCTTTTTCAACAATAAAGATGTGTTATAATTTGAATGTCTGACTGACGGTGGATATTCTAGTATCCTCTCTGCCCCACTTCTTGATTCTCTCATTTCCCCAGCCAATAACAGAGTGACTCACTGAGCTCGAGTACAGTTTTTCTGCTGCCGAGGGAATGATCTCATGGACATTCCTGGGAATCTGTCTTTCAGACAACTGCAGGCGTGTTTGAGCTCTGTCTGAAGGTTTGAGTCAGTTTTAGTCAGACAGTGACCTTTCCCAGTCACTCTCTAAAGACAGTGGCACTGCTGTCAAATCTATTAGATGTCAACAACAGGTGTCATCATCATTGCATCATGAACGTCAGTGTCCACCAAATACAATAACTATAAATGTATTGTTTTAAAAACTACTACTCAAGCTAGGCACTTGAGTTTTCTACAGGGATAATAAGGACAACAGGGAACATTATCTTTGGGATCACCATAGAAACACTTTTTGCTTATCTAAATTCAAGTCTCAACTAAGAATCAGTAGCCTATTGTATAGTATACAAATTAGTAGAGGCTTGAAAAAATATAACCTTGCACAAATAAAAAAAATCTAACATAAAAAGTATACTATAGTTTCATCTGGTACTTACAGCGAAATAGACTTTGGTACCAGTGTGTTTGTCAGTTTCTTTTTCCTTCTGATGTCCTCTTTCACAGTGGTCAGATTGCCATCAAAACTATTCTGACTCGTATAAAATATTTATAAAACTTGCCTCAAAAAGATGACAACTCCCATGCAAGACTTTAAATTATGCTTTAATCCCTCTTGAACCCGTATCCATATTGTTTTCTTTGTTTCTCCATGCAGTATATAGCAGTAACTGTAACAGCATGTGCAGTATACGTCCAACACAACTGCCATGTCCACTGCATGTGATTCTATTGTTTAATATTATCATTTATCAGTTGCAATACTTTCAATGTTATAGTTAAAGAATTGGTTTTGGTGTTGACATCCTGATCATATTAGTGGTCACAAACCCCTGTCAGGAGTATGGATTCTAAAGCCCAAAATGAACGACAAAATGAATCACATGCTGACAAAGTTCATTTTTAAAAACATACTCTACAATACTTGGCACTTAAGAACATTTCTGAATCTTGTATCCATTAAATCTGGGTAAAAATAGTGAAGTAAGAGAATGTCAGTCATTGTGTAAACATGCAAACAAAGCCAGTTATTACTGTAGTTTCAGAAGGTGTCAGTAAACAGTATTTACAAACTGCTCCTTTACTTGTAACCCAGGATACATCAAAGCATGACTAACCAAAGAAGAAGAGAGGATGAGCGGAGTTCAGTCTGCAAGGGAGATTTACTGAGCAGATGAATAGGCTGACATTTCGGATATGCGTCTTCTTCAAAGCCTGCTAACAATAAATCTGAGTCAAACTACAGAGAGCTCCCATCTCTCTGTTCTTTTCCCCTGGATGGTCATCATTCTACATAACCTTGGCTCAGCATTCCCTACAATTGCATTTACTCTGGGTTTTTTTGCCTCTGTGTTTTGAGCCAATCATTACCTGAGGGCAAGCAGGTAAGGCAAGCAATGTCGTAATCATGAGCTGTCCGCCTCTGTCTGGATTGTCTCTGCTGTCTGGGAGAATGATGTCATCTAAACTGTTGCACAAATGTTGATTTCTCAGCCCTCTCACAGGCAGTAAATACACACTAATAATTATTAATGTCATCAGACAGTATGTAAGTGCCGATAAATCCGTTCTAATGAAGAGATCTAGAGTTTTTACTGACACAAATGCATTTTAATACTATGCTATGAGCTTTTGGAGGATTTTCATTGGACAGAAAGCCTTTAAAATCGTACAGTGCAATGTTGCACCAGATGCTTTGCCTTACTTTGTGTACAGTGCACACATCACCAAATTTAATTGCTTAGTGTGAGTGTAATTAAACAAAAGAACAAAGTTGATTGAATTCATGAGAAAAACTACTAAAAGCAAAATAACTCAACTGACATGTGGAAGCTTCACTTGACTGATAGGGATGCTATCTTTGTCCTGGAAATGACATCAGCATTAGCATTTGAGTTTAAAAAATGAATGATGCATTCATCAATACTTTTATTTCAAGAATTGTTTTAATGGTGACATGCATTGTGAAAGGAGTCATCCGCAGTGAATAAAGTTAAATAATTACCTCCAACTTGACCCCTGAAAGTTCTAGCCTCTTTCAGCTCATTGTTTTGGTCCTTAGGACTGAAGCTGCGTTAGTTGGGTTGAGATTGTAAGCTGTCATCAACAGTGTGCACAACAGCAACAGGTAGCTGTTTATAGTTGACAAGATGATAAACCCACTGTAGGTTGTGCATGGCATGGTGAGAGTCGATTTGTTTAAGAACAATTTGGTTAAGAAAGAGGATGATTCAGCAGCAGCAACAAAAAAGTCAGAATGTCCTCTAGAGCAGGGGTTCCCAAACTATTCAGCCGGCGACCCCCAAATTAACGGTGCTAAGAAGTGGGGACCCCCATTGTCCCTGGAGGTGGTTAAATCATTTGCAAACTATCCAAATGGTGTTGTTAGAACAGCACAAAAGAACACAAAGCTAGAAGCAGAACACAAGTTATCTCTTGGACTATATACATTTTAATATGTTTTTAGTAGGAATCTCTCGACCCCCCTCTCAGTGTCTCGACCCCCACTTTGGGAACCACTGCTTTAGAAATCAAAACATGGCTAACATGAGATCAACTATTGATCATATCATATTAATTACATGGCCAGAAGCATGACTAAGAGTCAATTCTACTGTTGCTACATAAACGCTTCTTTTGCAACAAAAAAAAACAATGTCAGTGTTTATTCCAGGTTTCATTCTGAATTTACATCAAGCACTATGAACAAATTACAATAAAAATATGAAGACTTTGAACAAGACTTTGTATATCACTATCTGCCTTTCATCTGTAGACCCAGGGCAAGTTCACAGTGCTGTCCCCAATAAGCCAAATAACACATACAAGCTGGTTTAAGTTAAATGTTGTTTTAATTAAATCCCCACATGTACAGTATCATTTCAATATCAAAACCCTTTTAAATAAGTCCTGAATAAGGTTCAGAAGTATGCTGCAGGGAAATCAAACTGCAGATGTAGCTCCCGATGAGGAACATCTTTGCTGCGTTAACCAAAGACATAGCTTCTTTATTTATTTTTCTAGCACACGCGACATTTGGTAGCTTTACGTCTCCTGCACTGGAAACGGTCGGCTCTAATGACACAGGCTGGAAACAATGGTGCCACTTCCAGCGCTTTGCCTGGAGTGCCCACGTGGGGAAGCGAATAGTTTTAGGGAATTCATGAAGCTTAATTTATGTGGTTTCACTATCGCTGAGTCAGAAATGAAAAACAGATGAATTCATAGCGCAAGGCCACCACAGGCCCCAAAGCTGTCTTTTAATAGTGCTGCAGACTTACACATAACATCAGCATGTTAATGTGATTATATGTAATGGATGAAGAACAGGTATAACCTGAGGGAAATACATATCTTTATCTCAACACTATTCCTATTTCTTCCAAAATGATCCTTTATCTGAAAACCAATGTTTCAATCAATCTTGTTTAAAGTGTTTTTCTTGAACAGCTCCTACA